GATTCCCTTGATTACTGAGTTGTTCGACCTCCTTAAGGGGGCAACAGTCTTTACCAAACTTGACCTTTAGGGCGGCGTACAACTCGTACGGATCAAACAGGGGGATGAGTGGAAGACCGCGTTTAACACCAGAACCGGTCACTACGAATACCTGGTGATGCCCTTTCGGGTTGTGTAACGCGCCCCGCAGTTTTTTCAGGAATTCATAAATGATGTCCTTCGTGACTTGTTGCAGCAGTGCGTGGTGGTTTACCTGGAAGACATCCTGGTTTACTCTGCCTCCTTGGTCGAGTCCCATATCCAGGATGTCAAGCAGGTGCTGCAATAACGATTACGTGAGAACAAACTTTTTTGTAAACTTGAGAAGTGCGAATTCCATCGATCCCAAGTTGCCTTTTTAGGCTACATCATTTCTGCGGAGGGATTCTCCATGGACCCTCAGAAGGTTTCGGCGGTTCTGCAGTGGCCTCGTCCCAATGGTCTTCGGCCCATTCAGCGCTTTTGGGTTTTGCCAACTACTATCGGAAGTTCATCCAGAACTTCTCCACGCTGGCAAAGCCTCTCTCAGACCTAACCAAGAAGGCAGTAATCCTCACGAGTGGCCACCCTGAGGCCCATCGTAGCTTTCGAGGCTCTGAAATCGCCTTCGCATCGGCTCCGATACTGTCTCATCCCAATCCTGGATTGCCCTTCGTCCTTGAGGTTGATGCATCCGAGACGGGGAGTAGGCGCTCTCCTGTCTCATCGTCGGTCGCCCGATGGACCCCTACTTCCCTGTGGGTTCTACTCCAGGAAGGCTTTCTCCTGCAGAGTGCAACTACCAGATTGGAGATAGGGAGTTGTTGCCCATCATTCTGGCTCTCAAGGAATGGAGGCACCTGCTCGAGGGCTCCGCGGTTCCGGTCCTCATTCTTACCGATCATAAGAACCTGACTTATCTTTCGGAGGCCAAAAGATTGACATCCCGCCAGGCCAGATGGGCTCTGTTCTTGTCACGCTTCAACTATGTGGTTTTCATATTTGCCTGGTTCCAAGAATGTCAGGGCTGATGCGTTATCACGGCAATACTCTGAGTTGTCCAGGGAAAGACTCTGAGCCAATCTCAGTTATTCCTCCAGATCAGATCCTGGCTGCCATTCGCACCAATCTGACCTCTCCTCTTGGGGAGCAGATTTTGGCGGCTCAATCTGATGCTCCTCCCGGGAAGCCGGAGGGTAGATGTTTTGTACCCGAGGGATTGTGCACCCGCCTGCTGCGTACCTACCATAACGCCAAAACTGCCGGGCATCCGGGGAAGAACCAGCTGTGTTGGGTCGTCTCTCGCTTATTCTGGTGGCCAACCCTCCGTGCCGACATTGCCTCTTATATTAGCGGCATGTTCGATCTGTGCCCAGAATAAGTCTCCACGGCATCTCCCTTTGGGTCTTCTGCAACCCATTCCCAATGGGGAGCGTCCTTGGTCACACCTAGGTATGGACTTTATTGTAGACCTCCCAGTGTCTCGGGGTCATACAGTCATCTCATGATCGTTCGATCGGTTTTCCAAGATGTGCCATTGCATTCCACTCAGGAAATTACCAACAGCGCAAGAACTGGCCACGGTCTTTTCCAGGGAGATTTTTCGCCTGCATGGGTTGCCTAAGGTGATTGTCTCGGACCGCGGGAGTCAGTTCATGTCCCAGATTTCTGGCGCGCCTTCTGCTCCCAGTTGGGTATTAGTCTCTCCTTTTCCTCAGCCTACCACCCGCAGTCCAATGGGGCTGCGGAGCGTTCCAATCAGGCCTTAGAACAATTCCTTCGGTGTTATATTTCAGACCATCAGGACGATTGGGCCGATCTCCTGCCTTGGGCAGAGTTTGCCAAGAACTCGGCGGTCAACTCCTCCTCCGGGATGTCTCCCTTCATGGCCAACTATGGGTTCCAACCCGCGGTATTACCTGAGAGGTTCTCACCACAGGACATTCCGGCTGTGGAGAACCATTTCTTGCTGCCCTGCGTTCTTCATGGGGGCAGATCCAGAGGGCCTTGAGGGACTCAGCTCAGCGCCAGAAGTTCCAGGCTGATCGCAGACGGTTGCCCGCTCCTTCATACCAGGTCGGCGATCGGGTGTGGTTGTCTACTCGCAACCTCAATCTTCGGGTGCCCACACCCAAACTAGCTCCCCGTTTTGTCGGTCCTTTCCGCATTCTCCGCAAAGTGAATCCGGTGGCCTATGCCCTTGCCCTTCCGTCTGGGATGCGGATCTCCAATATCTTTCATGTTTCCCTGTTGAAACCTCTGATCTGCAATCGCTTCACTACCTCTCTGCCTCGGTCCCATCCTGTCCGGGTTGACGGTCATGAGGAGTATGAGGTGAGCCGGATCCTGGACTCTCGATTGGTGCGCGGTCGATTACAGTTCCTGGTTCATTGGCGCGGTTATGGTCCTGAGGAGCGTTCCTGGGTTCCTTCCGCGCATGCTCCTGCCCTCCTCGCGCTTTTCATACCCGCTTTCCTCAGAAACCTTTTGTTGAGCCGCGGAGGGGGAGGGGCCCTTGAGGAGGAGGTACTGTCAAGGTCCTACCTTTTCCCTGAGGTTATGTTACTCCATGTGCTGGCGTCCATCTTGGATTTTGCTGTGCATGGTGGGAATCCTTTTATGCCTTCAGGTCTCTGAGGTCCACCCCCCAGAGGGGCGTGGCTGATGACATATAAGCCTGTGGCCCGCACATGCTCTTTGCACTTGTGTCTTGTGTCTTTGTGTTGCTATTACTCTGTTCTGACTCTCGTGACTCTCCAGGTATCTGATTTGGCTTGTGACTTGACTATTCTTTGTATTCTCCTTTGATCTGACCCTCTGTTGCTGAACCCGGCTCGTGACCTGTGAGTCTCGTCTGCTGTCCTGTACTGTTTTGTCCTGTTGTTGTTGACCCCGGCCTGTCTGACTACTCTTTTGTCTCTTCCACCAGCTACACGCCATTGGTGGCGGCCATTACCGCAGCTGAGGTGTCTCGGGGGCCGCGACCTGGTTCTTGGCTGCGTCAAGTCCATCCCCACCATCAGGGGCCTGGTGAAGGGCAGCCTGGGACTTAGACTCCGCGCCCTGAGGGACTTCGGTCTGTGGGTGGTGGTTGTCGTCAGCCAGTGCGTTTACATTGTTAGGCCTGCCTGTCCGTTCCTCGGCTCCTGCCCTGACACTAAAACCCTTAAAAGTACAATAAAGTGCAGTGCTAAAGCAAAAACAAAGAAATGATCACAGTAAAGAACTGGATATGAATCCGTCTGTGAAGATATGATAAATCCAGGAGTTTATTACTCAGGGATTGCTGCTCTCCAAGTATAAATTGCAAGGCTTGTCCGTTACTTTTATACAGTAAGTGGTCTTGATAGATGCATCAGGAACTAGCTTTCAAACTGACAGCTGAGCCCTGCAAGTGAATTGTGGTAAAAACTGGAAGCATAAACAAACTTCCCTTGTGTTTAAAACCAGAATCTGCTTTTAATATGTACAGTATGAGCGTGATTAAAGTATTAGGAATACCTAGCTGAATTAAAGTTTGTTTTAATATTTGTCTTGAACGTCACTTTAAATTTACTACATTTGCTCCTCACTCCTAGGCCAGGAGGATTTTTCATTCAATAATGTCCATGTAGATAACAAACCTAGTATTTTATGATGTTACTGTTACTTAACCCCTTCATGACGAAGTGTAAAACAAATCTTAATGCCCTAAACACCGTTTTTCAACTTTGACACGTTCGTAAAACTGTACATGTGCAGTTGAACTGTACTATCCAGGTAAATTACTGTATACATTGTGTTTTTTCTTTCAAGCAAATTGGGCTTCCATTTGGTGGTGAGAGATAATGGATTTTTCCTGATTATTTATATTTTTTTTAAATATTATCAAAAAAAAAGTGGCACAAAAATTTTAAAAATCCAGTTTATTAATATGTACCTGTATATTTCTTGCTTTTACCATAACCTACCAGCAAAGAGCAACCCAAAATAAATTTTCTTGCTTCTGATGATCGCAGTGATACCATGTTATTTTTTTTGTTTTGTACCCTTAGTAGGGACCAGAAACAATAGTGTGCATTTATCTTTTTTTTTTACTCTACAGAAAACACACTGACACTTCAGTGATACTAAATTTAAAAAACTGTTTTTGTTTTGTTTGTTTTTTTTATTCGACCTAAAATACACTGGCCCTGGCCTTTGATCCCAACCTTTGTCTCTGACCATGTCTTTTGACCCCAACTCTAACCCTGGAGAAGGGTTTAAAGTAGAATTAAAGGCAATTTTTTTTTATATTGGACAGGGTTAGAGCTATAACCTGTCAGTTTTATTCTATCTATGTGCCATTGGAGAGACTTCACTTCTGTCACATAACCAAAACAGGTAGTGAAAGGAAATACTCCTATGTGAGGGAATCCTTGGTCATCAGAACTAGTGCCCCCATTGGAAATTGTCCCTGATTATTACTGTTCTAGGGACTACCCAAAATGTGGGATCTTTTTCATTTTTCACTCTTGGTGATTAACAGTATAACAGGACAAATAAAGAGGGCGAATCTCCTTAACAGGGGCACAGGCAGCAATAGGCACCTTAGAGGTGTTCTAAATCCTTGCCACTCTATCCAAAATGTAGAAAAAAAAAGGTCCTTTAGTTATACTTTGTACATATATAGTAAAACTCACTGTATATGCTATGGATAACAAAAGTAGGGTAATTCCCTTTTTGGGTTATTTTAGAATAGTATAATGCAATTACAAATAATAATGATTGTGTGTGTGTGTGTTTGTGGCTTATATTGTGGATGGTGATCACAGAACATTTTATAGTGTGGTGTTTCCCTGCTAAGGCATTGGTTCTATTCCACTCAAGGGTAGATGACATGTAGAATCAATAATATACAATACTACTAAAGAGGTTTTTGTCATGTTTTGAGTTGGCTGTAATTGCTGGACAATTATCTGTATCTGCCCATTTATTTTACAATTTATCAAATTTTTCCTTATTTTGTAGTAACCATGAAGGACCGTCTGAGTGAGCTCCTTGAATATTCAAGACTTCATAGTCAATATATTGAAAATGATGAAGAAGATCTTTCTCAAGAACTTGCTATGTTTGAAACTGACCATTCTTTGGAAGTCCTCTACAATGATATACAGCTCATTCGGACAGAGAACCACTTATTAAAAGTTGATGTAAAACGACTGGGGAAGCAAACCACACGCTTTCTCACTTCAATGCGTCGCCTTAGCAGTATCAAAAGAGATTCAAACAGTATTGCTAAAGACATTAAGTTACGGGGAGAAGGCATTCACAGAAAGTTCAAAGCCTCAAAAACCTTAGTGAAGGTGCTGAGAATGTACATGGGGAAAATGCTGTTATTGCACGTGTGGCTAAAGCACAATATATTACTCTTACACGTGCCTTCCAGAAAGCCATGGTTGAATACAATGAAGCTGAAATGGTTCAAAGGGAGAACTGCAAGATCCGCATACAGCGGCAGTTGGAAATCATGGGCAAAGATATATCTGGAAACCAGATAGAAGACATGATAGAACAAGGAAAATGGGATGTCTTCTCTGAAAATCTTCTTTCTGATGTTAAAGTTGCTCGTTCAGCCCTTAATGAAATTGAAACTCGACACAAAGAATTGCTAAAGCTGGAGACTCGTATAAGAGAGGTCCATGACCTCTTCTTACAGATGGCCTTGTTGGTTGAGGAGCAGGCTGAGACTCTGAATGTTATTGAATTAAATGTGGAAAAGGTTAAAGATTATGTTACTGTTGCCAAAGCTCAGATCAAACAAGCCGTGGAATATAAAAAGAAGAATCCGTGCCGTCAATGAGTTTCTGTTGTTGCTTTCCTTGCTGTAACTAAACTAAAATAATCTAAATGGCAGTGTTAAAAGACTGGATTTTCCAAGGGAAAAAAACTGTTCCAATGTTTATGGACATCATTTAAATCCAACAGAATGGATGCTACAGGCTAAACAAATATTTTTGTAGGGACCCAGTTGGTCACAAAATGTGTGAAAAATTAAATATAGTTGCATTTGAAGATGAGGTGTTCATCATCTTCTAAACGTATAAGAATTAGTAAAGGTGAAAAACTGCATGTTTCTGAGGTGGTGAGGGCCAAAGGATTCCAACTATTATAATATAATTGAAACTATGATATACTTCCGTATTTAGGCAAACATTAGCACACACATGCATGCATTAGTCACTGTGAATGGTTTTAAAGTTTATTTTTATGTTATATGCAGAAAGACATTAATAAATGGCTTGGTGTTCTGTCCTTTTATGATAATGCTGTATTATTAAAAGTGTAAAATGATCTTCTAAATGTCTGTTTGTTAAGCTTGCCATACATTTTACCATCTAAATGTACAATTTTCTTTACATCTACCCAAAAAAAAAATTGTTTAGGCTTACATAGGTTTGCTAAATATAAAATAAACTGTGCAGTTAATGTATAGTCAAGTTGTAGTATATGGTCAGCTTTAGTGTTACCAAATCTGATGTTGCACCTTTATAAATAGATAACAAACCTATCAGGATTTAAAAATTCACACGCTCGAGAAATGGCAACAAGCTACAGCACCTAAAAAAAATAATTTCCATAGGAGACACTTCAAAAGCCTTTTCAGGTTACCAGTTTAGAGTTAAACATGTGCTCTGGTAGTAGCATTATTACTCTCACTCTGAGGTTCATGGTGACACCTCACGTGTGATGCAATCAATTACATATGTGTGTGGGATCCACGTGCGTATTTGCATTTGCACAAGGCAGTTCTTTAAAAAAAAAAATTTTTTTTTTTACTTCCCGTTTTTTTTTTTTTTTTTTCTTTGTCATTCAAGTTGATTGCTATAACAAGGAATCTGCTACATCCCTTGCGATAGCTTGGGAAGTGACAGGTACTCTTTATTGAGAGGTTGCAAGGGCATTGGTTTGATTGCTGCTTCCCTGGCAGATTGCTGGCCAGATAAACTCTGAACTGAAACCAGAAGTGATGAAATCCTTGTCACTTCTAGTTTAATTCAAAAGAGAGGAGTGGGAGAAAGGCATGTTCCTCCTTCTCCCCTGTGAGCAGCAAGCCCAACCGCTTGCAGCAGCCCTAGGCTCGCTGATGAAACAGAAGAGCCTGGGAACAGCAGCGGTTGGAAGAGGGGGTTGGCCCTCTCTGAGCTTTGTAACAGTGATCTGGCAACTGTAGCTGCTGCCTCTAAAAAAAATTACACCAAGATCACAGCTGCAGCCAAGACTCTGATATAGCCATTTCTCACCAAAGATGTGTGTGTATATACTGGATGGGACCAGTCTGGTTGTGTGATCCTGCAGCTATGGCCTCCCTGTTTTGACAATTCAGCGCTCAACAATGGCTGGGAATTCCAGGAGTCATGATGTCACCCCAAGGCTACCATGGCCCAGCTCTTGTCGACATTCCCTCTTCTCCCTGGCAGCTGCTGCTCACTGACATAGGGGAGTTGGAGCTGCAGGATCACATGACCAGATCAGAGTGGACTAAAAAATGTAAGTATGCAGATTTTGTACACAGGGTAGGCAGAATAGGTAAGCTGGAAAAACCATCAGCAAATATAAATGAGTGCTTAGTGGCAGCACAACTGAATATATAACATCGTTGGTACAAAACCACAAGTATTTAGCTCACTGTTACATTTTAATCTTTTTAAAACAGAGTATACAGACAGATATAAAATATATTTAACACCGTTCTGTATTCTTTTAAAATAATAATTAAATTTGGTTGTACATACAACCAACATACGTACTTGAATCTCGATATCAACCTTCGTCTTGTCTTGCATCAGGAGCTAATCAGACTCCTATGTATGCACATGTGTACTGACTGGGATAGACCATAGTTATGCGGGGTATACACTAAGTTTTTTTTTTAATTTATTTTTTGTTCGACCCAGCAAGCTGAACGAACAAACTTTCAGAGCACTGTACTAACACAAGTGATGCTAAGCTACTGTATTCTGACAGGGAGACTGCCCCCACAGAACACACTGGTTGGCGCTGGCAGCCAGTGGTCGGATGCTGGTTTTCCAAAAGGCCCGACAGGCAGCTGTACACACGGGCCAAATGTCAGCTGGTTCCTGCCGAACCGACCATTTTTGGCCAACTTTCAGCCATGTGTACCCAGCCTTACCCTACATCTCTGTGGTGCTGTTCATTTATTGTTCAGTCAGTAGGCTGTAGTGTTTCCCTCCTGGGTGTCATGTCTGGCAGAATCACAAATGTTGCTGGACAAATCCTTTGCCACGAAAGATATTTCATATCTATTTATTTCAACTGTTTTTAGCTGTTTGCCTGCAGTTCAAGTTTAAAGCTGAACTCCAGGTATAATCGTCATTGTATACTTACTGTACATTGTGCCAAACTAGACCAATGTAGATGTGCAATTAATATCATACCTGGAGTCCAGCTTTAATTACAAACACGGAGGGTTACAAGTAGGGCTGGATCTAGCCTACTGATCTGGGAGTGCAGTAAAAAAGTCATGAGTCAATTTCAACACTGTGTGAGTCGCTGACAGTCTTTCATCTCAGACCTAGACCTGGGAAACACTAAAATGTATTAAGTTTTAATTTGATTAGGATGATTAAACAAAACCTGTGCCCCCTTATATCAGATGTCCCTATCAGAGTCTCCCTTTACATAAGGAGTACTCTTCAGGGTCCCTCTTTACATCATGACTACTCATTGGAGTAGTCCGGTTCCCATCTAAGTGCCCCCTTACATCGAGTGTCCCCATCTGAATGCCCTCTTACATCAGGTGTCCCCATCAAAGTCCCCCTTACATCAGTGTTACTAATCCGAGTGCCCCTTACATCAGGTTCCCATCAGAGTGCCCCTTTACATCAGGTATCCCCACCAGAGTTACCCTTTTACATCATTATCCCCACCACATCACCCTTACATCAGGTGTTCCCATCTGAATGCCCCCTTACATCAGGTGTTCCTATATGAATGCCCCCTTACATCAGGCGTTCTCAACAGATTGCCCCCTTACATCAGATGTCCCCATCAGAGTGCCCCTTACATCAGTGTTCCTAATCAGAGTGCCCCTTATATCAGGTGTCCCCATCAGAGTCGTCCTTACATCAGTGTTCCTAATCCGAGTGCCCCTTACATCAGGTTCCCATCAAAGTGCCCCCTTACATCTGGTATCCCCCCCCAGAGTTACCATCTTACATCATTATCCCCACCAGAGTACCCTCTTACATCAGGTGTCCCCACCAGAGTTCCCGCCTTACATCCGGTATCCCCATCTGAATGCCCCCTTACATCAAGTGTCTCCATTTGAATGCCCCCTTACATCAGGTGTTCCCATCAGAGTGACCCCTTACATCAGGTGTTCCCATCAGAGTGATCCCTTACATCAGGTGTCCCCACCAGTGTTCCCCTCTTACATCATTATCCCCATCAGAGTGCCCCCTTACATCAGGTGTCCCCACCAGAGTGCCCCCTTACTCAGGTGTCCCCATCAGTGTGCCCCCTTACATCAGGTGTTCCTAATCCAAGTGCCCCTTACATCAGGATGCCTCCTTACACCAGGTGTCCCCACCAGAGTGCCCTATACATCAGGTGTTTCCACCAGAGTGCCCCCTTACATCAGGTGTCCCCATCAGGGTCCCCCTTACATCAGTGTTCCTAATAAAGTCCCCCCTTAAATCAAATGTCTTCAACAGAGTGCCTTCTTACTGATGTATTACTGTCCCTATTAAACTGCCCCTTACATTAGTGTCCCTAACAGAGTCCCCCCCCCCCCCCCTTTAAATATGATCAGTTATCCCTATCAGTATGCATCCTTACATCAGCTGTCTGCATCAGACTGGCTCATGGATCAGTGGATACACTCTCAGAGACCTGGGGGTGCACAGCTAAAATCTGGGGGGGGGGGGGGTACAACCCACAACAGCACACCCATAGATCCGGCCCTGGTTACAAGTTCTATTACTCAAAGGGAAGCCAATGGCTCACAGACTTCTACAATATTGAACACCTTTAAAAGAAAAGTATGGAGTTGCTTTTTTGTTTTTGTTTTAAAAATCATGACTTAGGTGAAGATGCTGCATCTGTCCCTCTGCCGGCTATAAGGGTGAGAACTGAGCGATCAGACACCACTGATCGCTCCGTTCTCCCTGCAACTCTGAGACCTGTCGGTCACCGCTGTCTGCTCTGCCGCCCCCCCCCCCAGGGCTCTCTGGAGCACTGGGCTGTGGAGGGGTCTGGAGTGGCTGTTAAATTGCACTGTTCTTTTTTTTTTGTTTGTTTTTGTTTTTTCTTCATTTGTTTTCCAGATCTGAATGGTTGAACCTTTTTGCATTTTAGGCTTTGAACACATACAATTATACAACACATATAAGCTTATTTTATTCGGCCCTAC